TGTAAACTTTGCGGGTTGCTATTTCGTGCAATAACTTTGCTGCTGTGATATGCCAGAATGCACGCTTCTTATCCTACTGTTGGTACCTCGCTTCCTGTGCCAATTCATCCATGCATCACTAGTCATAAACAGTTCATCAATTTCATCACACCAAAGTGAAATGAACATTGGGAGAGGACAGCCACCAACCATTCAATTGTGGGCACAATAAACCCAAACCCTCCGATAAGGTTGTTTTGGTTAAGCTTTTGTTCCCAAGCATTTGGACACATGATAAGTTTATGGACAGGATAGCGTAATGAGGGGCGCCGTATGCAACCCGAAATCGGGATAGCCGGGTTCCCGGACTCGCCCCAAATATCAACCTCCATACCTGACTCCTCTCTTAGTTAATCGTAGGACAGATATCACACCTTAGAAAAGGACTTCTGCACTATCGAACTCATTTTCTATTATTATTTCTATGACCATTTTCATATATCTACTGCACAAGTTCCCAAATTGATCCTTTGGCGTTTCTTGACTTTTTATCACACTTTAGTGTGACTAACAGCAGACGGGATAAATTCCGTAGTCACGAGAAGTTGCATTTTATTGATGGCAACCGGTAGCCTAAGCCCCGGGACCTGGAATGGCGAACCACATATTGCCCCATAGTGTCCAAAGCACGTCAATGATAGCACCTAAACCACTACATCGCCACCTCGAATTAACTTGACTTATATTTAGAGTAAAGAATCTCGTGATACTCCGGCGGAGCCGGTTTTTTATTGAATCGGCTCTTCTTACCAGCAAATGGTCACAATCTTGATCTCGGGCTTAAAATCCTGAAGTAAGCCATTTGGGTGGGGATGGCGCAGTGGTTTAGTCGCTGTCACAGGCGTTCTTTGGACCCTATAGTCCGAGGTTCGAACCCCGCCACCCGACTTCGGTGGCAGGCAGCTTTGCTGTCGTTCGGTTCAGCACCACGCCTAACCTATCGGGGCCTTATGTGGTTCACCGCTCCAAATCTTGAGGCTTAGGTCACCGGTTTCCATTACTAAAAGCAGCAGGTCCTCGTGACTATGGGGTTTCCCCCCGTTAGCTGTTCACCACACAAAAGTATGTAAAAGAATTTAGCCTTCACTACGACTGTAAACAAGCTCATTATTTCACAGTAGGCACAAAACACGTGACGGCAAACTACACTTCGGTGTCTATGCAGCATTACACGAACCTGGTGGGGGCAACCGGTTAGTGGCGGGCATTTAGGTATTCGTGTTCATCCACTGTAGCAAGCGATCGACTTCCGTAGATTGTTGGTTGGACCATGTGTTGCGCATGTCACCACATAGGTTGCCACGGCGCGTAATGTTCGCCGAGGCAGGTAGTGGGTGGAACAAAGTCAATGGTGTTCAAACTAAGACCTGGCAAGAGGGTATGAAAATCCTAACCAGGAGATTCGGCCACATAGGTTGCGTTAGGCTCCCTGAATGGAAACCCCGGGATGTTCGTAACCGGTGGTTATAGACACTGGATGATGTCTGCGTGTCGTAAACAAAGGCGTTCGTGCATCTTCGCAATTTCCTTACAACCTCAATCCACTGAAATTATCCTTTTTGTCTTCGACTCTGCTTTCATCTTTCCTGCCTTCCTCCTGCTGCTTCATTCAAGTGGGTATCCAAAAGACAACAACTAGTACTGGCACACAAAAGTGCATGGTTAATTGTTGTACAAACTGATACTTTGGAGTTACCTCACCATTCTCCTTGCATCGGTGTATCCTAGGGTTATCTTACACTCGAATCTCTGGCTGCTGTCGACGCTAACCAAAACTGGATGAATATGGTGAGCAGCCTATCACACAACCGTTCAACTTCAAAGCGAGATGAGTTAGCCTGCAGTCAAGTGGTAAAATCTTGATTAGCTTGAGCGTTGAAAACGTATGAAGCCACAGCCTTCGTGCCTCTATGACGTGCACTTATTGCATGAATCAGTTCAGTTCAGTTCTTACAACCGTTAACCATGCACTTTCGTGCGTCGGTTTTGGTTGCTCTCCTTTGGTTGCCCATTTGGATAAAGAAACGGAATGAAGATTAGAATGTCGACAGCAGATTCAAGCAAAAGATAGCGCATTTGCGTAGACTGAAGCTACAAGACTGATGAGTTGAAGCATGAACGCCACTGCGACACCCAGCCATATCGCTCAGTGTCTAACCATCGGTGACCATGATCTCGGGGTCCCCAGCCAGGGAGCAGATAATGGCATACTCTAAGATGAACATTGAGCCACTCAAAAGGTCTATCCACAGGGTGACGGTGAGTCTTCCCGAAGGCCCCTTTGCCCCCGATCAAGCACTTCGCCCAATCTTGTTAACCAGAGTGCCGATTGGGACCATATAAAACATGGAAAACCTAGCGTTTGCTTCCTAAGGATTTAGGCTCAATAAAAAATAATAACAAAAATAAACGATCAGGTGAACAACGTCATGCAGTCCCTATGGGTGATAGAACGTTAAGAATTAGTTCACTATTAAAACAACGGTAGGT